AAGTTGGTTAGATCCCTGTCCCAATATGTCAAGATTGCAGGTTCATTCCTGGTCAAGGCACATACAGGAATCAACCAATGAATTCATAAGTGGAACAGCAGCTTTGGCCAGTTTGGCTCAGTGGATAGAGCGTTGGCCCGTGAACTGAAGGGTCCTGGGTTTGATTCTGGTCAAGAGCACGCACCTCAGTTGCAGGCTCCATCTCTGGTTCTGGTGAGGGCATATGCAGGAGGCAACCAATTGATGTGTCTCTCTCATCAATGATGCTCCTATGTCTCTCTCCCTCTCTCTTCCTCTCTGAAATAAATTTAAAAATATTTTAAAAAAATAAATGTAACAACAAACAGATCTCTCTCTCTCTCGCTCTCTCTCGCTCTCTCTCTCTCTCTCTCTCTCTCTCTCTCTCTCTCTCTCTCATTAATAAATAAAAATTACAAAGCCCTGGCCAGTGTGGCTCAGTTCATTCCTGGTCAGGGCACATGCCTGGGTTGAAGACTTGGTTCTGTGTGTGTGTGTGGAGGGGGGGTGGCGGCGTGCAGGAGGCAACTGATTGATGTTTGCTCTCACATCAATGTTTCTCTCTCTCTCCTCCCTTTCTCACTAAAAAATAATTTTAAAATATTTTTAAAAATATTTAATGAACAATGTGGATGCTTTCCATTACCAAGCTATTTCTAACTGGGATTGGGTATGTATTCAAAGTAAGTTGGGTAATATCCAAAAGTGTTTCATTTGAATTATGGTTTTGGAAAGTCTTTACATAGCTTAACATTAAAAATTGTGTCAAGAATACATAACACCAGTGACTCAAGTTTAGTAAATAATATAACTCTCCAATTTGTTCCATGCATTACTGCCCTACTGCCCTGCACAACTGATTGTTTGAGTCTAATGTGTAAAGTACTTGGATGAAGGTTAAAAATTCTGCCCAGATTTCTGGGACCAGTAAAAGGCACTGGCTGCACAGTTAACTCTCTAGTCAGATACTTTGGTTTATTTGATTTTGGAACCTTTCATTTGATTCCTAAAGGTATACAAGATCAAAATTGCCCTATACAATTGTAATGAAATTCCTTTAAAACCATAACAGGTAGAATTACTGGTATATAGTTAAAACATATAAATGCTTAACCACTCATTTATTTGTCACTCTGGGGAATTAGGTGTTCTGGATAATTAAAATTCTTACATGACTAAAGATTATCATTATCCTTTCATATTAATTATGTAATAGGTATAATTTTGTAATGTAATTAGTATTTTTCTGACTTCTTATAAAAATTACTAGAGGCCCGGTGCACAAAAAATTGTGCACTCGGGGGGGGGGGGATCCCTCAGTTCGGCCCGTGCTCTCTCTCAGTGTGGGACCCCTTGGGGGATGTCCACCTGCTGGCTTAGGCCTGCTCCTCGGAGGATCAGGCCTAAGCTGGCAGTCAGACATTCCTCTGGCAGCCTGGGAGCCCATGGGGGATGTCCACTTGTCAGCGGGGAGCAGGACTGAGCTGCAGTTGGACATCCTTATCACTGCTGAGGAGGCGGGAGAGACTCCCGCCACTACCACTGTGCTGGCAGCCGTCAGCCTGGTTTGTGGCTGAGCAGAGCTCCCCCTGTGGGAGCATACTGACCACCAGGGGGCAGCTCCTGCATTGAGTGTCTGCCCCCTGGTGGTCAGTGTGTGTCATAGTGACAAGTCATTCTCAGTCTTTCTGCTGTTAGGGTCAATTTGCATATTACCCTGTTATTATATAGGATAGAGGCCTGGTGCATGGGTGGGGCCGGCTGGTTTTCCCTGAAGGGTTTCCCGGATCAGGGTGGGGGTCCCGCTGGGGTGCCTGGCCAACCTGGATGAGGGGCTGAGGGCCGTTTTCAGGCTGGCCACACCCCCTTCAGAGTTGCGGTCCCCACAGGGTGCCTGGCCAGCCTGGGTGAGGGGCTGATGGCTGTTTGCAGGCTGGTCATGCCCCCCAATTGGGACCTTCACCCCATGGGTGTGTGACCTGCCTGAGTGAGGGGCTGAGGGCTGTTTTCAGACTGGCCACAGCCCCTTCAGGGTGGGGGTTTCTATTGGGGTGCCTGGCCAGCCTGGGTGAGGGGCTGATGGCCGTTTTCAGGCTGGCCATACCCCCTGGCAACCTAAGCTCCCAGCCTCTCCTTTGCCGGGGTCCAACCCCAGCAGGTCCAGGGGTTCCCAAAGGCGTAGACGGAGTCGGTGAAGAAGGAAGGACACGGAGATAGTGTTCAGTTGATCAGCAGCCTAGCCAGGATCTCCAGCCAGGATCTCCAGCCAAGTTCTGGTCTGGATCTCCAGAGACGTTCTGCTGTTTATTGTCTTGTTACATCAGTATTTATAGCAGTTCATTTTAATCCTGTCAATTTCTATTACAAAGGTTAGGGCATTTCTTATCTCCATTCCTGGGAGTAAAGATTATGTAGCTTAAGCATGATTGTTTGTAGTTAAAGTGATTAACTACCCGCCTGGCACTTAGTTAAGGAGTTTCATCCCCTCCCTAACTTCAGGGAAAAATCCCTACCTGGGAAAACAACCTTTCTCGGAGAGGTGACCTTGGTTAAAACACACAGCACTAAGGGGAGCAAACATATTAAGAACAGTATGCTATATACGCCAGGTCCCTTGAAACATATGCTGTGCAGATGTTTCTATCCTGCAGTGACTGTGTCAAGCAGCAAGGATGAACCGGCTTCTGGCACTCCTTTTTTTTTCTGGGATTTATTTATCTTCTCTGATTGAAACTTTGTAGCCTTGAGTGGAGCCCAGGTCAGGCTGGCCATACCCCCCTGGCAACCCAGGCTCCCAGCCCCTCTTTGAGCAGGGGCTACCACTGGCTGGAAGCAGGTATCTGGGATTTAATTATCTTCTATAATTGAAACTTTGTAGCCTTGAGCGGAGCCCAGGACCAGCCAGGGCAGGCGAAAAGCATGGCTTCCTCCACTGCTGGGGGAAACCCAAGCCTCCTGCTCCCTCCAGCTCCGTGGCCTCTGCCATCTTAGCTGGGTTAATTTGCATACTTGCTCCTGATTGCCTGATGGGTGTGTCTTGAGCGTAGTGGAAGGATGGTTCATTTGCATGTTTCTCTTTTATAATATAGGATATTAAACATGCTTTATTTTTTAAATTTTTATTTTATTGTTTAAAGTATTACAAAGAGTATTACATATGTCTCCTTTTTCCCCCCTTGACATTCTCCCGACCTCCCCTACCCCCCAGTGTCTTGTGTCCATTGGTTATGCTTGTATGCATGCATACAAGTCCTTCAATTGATCTCTTAATCCCCCCAACCTTTCTTGATAACTTAGACATTATTATGAGTACTAGTTATTGTACTATGCTACAATATTATGCTATGCTGTAATTGTGCCCTTAGGAGCTATTAAGATGGATAGGAATTCATGGCTCTATATTAAAAGGCCATAGACTCTTATGCTCTTTAAGTTATGAATTTTCTGTGTAATTTTCTTTGGCTCCCTGTGCTGTCAGTTTTCATGTCGCAGTGTTCCTAGTGATTGTGCCTCTAAAAGTGTTTCTGCTTTCTCTTCATCTGTGATTTGCTAAGCAGTGGGAATCAAATACCAAGCTTTTTAGAGTTCTTTATCAAAAGTTAATTCTCTATCAGCGAAGGTACAGAAACTTTTCAGCAGCACAACTCTTAAGTTGAGAGGCCTTTTCAAGATATCGACATTTTATGGTAGTCTTCTGGAGTGCTGATCTTGCCAGAAGATAAGCCTCTTGGGGAATAGAATCATGCTAAGTAGACTGAAAAGTTCACTTTTTATTAAAGCACAATGTTATCATTATTATTCACTTATCTCAAACATAAAGTATGCTGTGATCCTAATTTTACTCTATAGTGTGGCAAGATTAGGCTTAAAGAGTATATTAAATTGCAGTACTTATTACTGTAACTTATTCTTATATTTACTGGAATTCATTGTCTTCAGTTTTGGAACATTTGCTTTGCAGTCGATATTTTATTTTTTAATTTTTTTCTTTATTGAATAAGGTATATTCTTTTCTTTTTTTAAAAAATTCTTTATTAATTAAGTTATTACACCTGTGCAGTTATCCCCACATTACCCCCATCCCCCCCACTTATGCTCTCATCCTCCTGTTGTCTGTGTCCATTGGTTAGGCCTATATGCATGCATATAAGTCCTTTGGTTGATCTCTCCCCCTTACCCCCACCCTCCCCTACCTTCCCTCTGAGGTTTGATGGTCTGTTCTTTTCCATCCATGAGGGGCTGTGCGTGCCCTATACATCATTGTAGTGCTTCTGCCTGCAAGTTTTTTCAGGGTCTATACAGGTGTGCCATGCTCTCAGAAAGCCTGAGGTGTGCAAATACTGATTTGTCAAAAATAGTGAATGAATTGTATGTAGGGAGACTTTCAAGTCAAATTTAAACCTCTTTAATAATGTGCTTCACTACCATATTTCAAATTGCTTCCTATACTTAACCAAATTTGCAATGAAGTTTTAGTAACAATTATCTCATGAAAATGAGGTACATCTATTGCATATGTGTCACAGTTAAGGTAGAAAATTGGAGTTGTTTCTTTAAATGGAACAAGTAGCAAATCTATTAATTATAGTCTTGTTTATACTTCTACAAAAACCATGATTATTTGTCTAAACTAAGTCCTCTTTGCTTCCTTAGAAGCATCATTGCCTAGCTCAGTGAGAATTTATACACTTGAATTTCACACATGGAGGTCATTTGTTCCCATATTACACAGATTTCCAATAGATACCAGTCTGATATAATTCTGAGAAAATGGCAGTTAGGATCATGTTGTAGCAAATTTGCCTATCAAATGTTTATCCTTCAAACAGAGCTAAGGACAGATGCCTAATTAATGGAATTGTGAACAGTGGTTTCCTATTTAAAACATTACTCACGTTATATCTTAATCAATAAGAGATATGTCTTTTGTTACCTTGTATTCGTTTAACTAATGTTTGAATTTTATGTGTTCTTCCTTATAGGAATCCCAAAATATGACTCCAGGATTTACCTTACAAAGTAGGTGTTTTTTTAAAAAAATTCTTAGTCCAAACTTCATGCCCTCACCCCCCTCTCCCTCTTCTCTTTTCTACCTAATGTCATTGAAATATAAAGTAACAATAACAAAAGTCATATTGTGATATATCCAATTTGTTTCTCTTTTCATCTTTTATTAATGGAAGGATGCTCTAAAAAAAGTGTAACTGGAAGATCTGCATGTTTTAAGATCAATTTAATTCAGAATAATCATTTGACAGTAGAAAACATGGATAGTAATTATATGTGCCCTTTCTTTTCAGAGTGGAATGACCCAACCAACAGAGCTTCTACAAAGTCAGTGTCACTCAAGTCGTGAGTACTTGGGTTTCCAAAATAGGTTTCTTCAGGGACATTTGGCAATGAAATGGTGCCTCAGTGCTAAGTGAATCTTTTTATCTTTCCTGTTCCTTGAAAATATGAACCTTGACTCATAATAATATGGTGTTTGGTTAGAAGTGAGAATGAGATTTACCATGATAAGCAAGTAACAGTAAAAATAAACAATATCACCATTAGACCCTCTAATGATATAGACACAGGCTGGGCAAATACTTGGGTTATGGAAACAACTGTGATTCTTGACTAGTTGTTTGAGCATTGTGTAATGTCGGCTACAGACATTATATGCAATATTCAGCCACTACTAACGATGGAGAAAGGACACTTCTGAGTAGCCATGATTGGGCATATATGTTGAGTGGATTGCTATGGCCATTCATCCTGAGAATTCACCATTTGTAGGTCATCTGGAGACTGTATTTTAAAGCCAAACAAAGGCAGTCAGGAAGAGAGAGAATAAAAGATTACATGGTAATAGGTTGAAGTTCAGAAGCCAGGGCCCTGAAATTCACTCAGTATTGTCTTCATTTTTTATTACTGTTAACTGAAAGAGGGATATGGAAAAACCAATTTTCTCAGATTAACTATTGTAGATTTTGTAATATCCATTTGTCCAAGAATATATCAAGGGAGTATTTGTCTCACAACTCCTTTTATTCCTAACAATATAAAATAGGAGCTGACTTTTCAATGTAATAGTCACATACTTGAAAATTTTCAAAATGAAATAATTTATGACGTTCAATTGGCCTAACAGCACATTTGAAATGAATATCTCACCTTTTGAAAGATCACAAATAATTGCATAAAACAACTTGGAATGATTCCCAAGTAGACTGAGACTCAGAGAAAGTCAATATCATTTCCATGTTCTTGGTTCTGTTTAGCAGCAAAGCACCAAAAGCCTTAACCCCGTCACCCATTATCTTATTTTGTTTTCTGGCCTTCTATACTGTGCCTTCTAGTTCAAAGTTAAGTTTTAACAACCAAGAATTCTCCATTTAAAGAAGTGAGAAAAAATAAGGGGAGGGGGATAAAAAACCATTACCCTGATTTAAAGACCAAATTATATAGAAACCTATAAATCAAAATCAACTTTGATATTTTTCATTTTGTATTAATCACATTTTAAATTGCCCTCCCCATTATTATGCTAATAAATAATAGATTTTATCCTCCTACTTTGCCCCATTCCCACTAAAATCAATAAAATTTACACACACACACACACACACACACACACGCACACACACACACGTGTGTGCACTTGAGATTTGAGAAATCAATGTAGATTTCTAAACATGAAAAATATAAAAAATATTTCCCATTATAAAATGATCTTACTCCTAAAGCAAGAGTATTAGACTCCCACTGTGAAATATGTTGATTTCCATATTAACCCTAAAATACCATTATTTCAATAGTTTGTGACTAACAGAAATAAACTTATGAATCATGGTTTATAGTTTGAGGCTGCATTTCCAGAGAATAGCACTTCATAACACAGGATATATACTGCATTCAATAGGTCCAAGGTTTTCTATAGGAAGCATCAAAAACACTGGAAGACACTGGGTCTATTTTATCAATGAGCTGCTTGCTCTCTGCTTAGCTACCTGGTATAAAGTCCAAGTATTGTCCATCAGACTTCAACTGAAGTAAGTTCTCTTTGTATTGTAGGGTATGGGATAGCTAAAAGTTATAAGAATTATTTTTACTTTTAGCTTCCCAATTATTTTCAGCTTAGCTATTGCTATCATTTTCCCATATTTTAGTACAGTGTGCTATTTAAGCCATCTTCTAATATTTTCTATTTGGCAACTAACAACATTGTGAGTGTAGACAGATTGTTGATGGCTGGAGCTTGGTGGAAAGCAACCCCTAAGTAGGCCCTGCTACAGAAGAAACACCTTCCCATGATCAGCAAATATCCTGGATATACTCCTGCCACTTACTGCAGTAGAGAGAGATGATTCTTGTAAAACAAAATTCCTTAATTACTGGTGTACTTTATTACTTTCTCTCATCTTTGCCTCCTTTCACTAGTTATAAAATTGCAGATATTACATTTCAGCCTGGATTGTTTATCAGCACTGCATGTCTCGGTACCAGGTCTGAAAACACTGCCCAAATTTGCCCGAGTGCGAGCTAGGAACCAGCAAGGCTTGCTCTGTGTTCTTGACAGCCACTGCTCTCTCTGGGCCTTTTGGAGAACTGGGTCTTTCTTATGCTCAGTGTACTCCATTGACACACAGTACATTTTATGGGGTGTCCATTCATGGGTTAGCATCCTACCTAGTCCAACTGGAATTCTCACTGCACATGAGGCAAGAGCATTGGACTGGGGGAGTTTTAAGACCTGGGTTTGAACAGATATGGTATTGGGAGGAAAGCACTGACCTAGTATTCAGAACATGTGAGTACTTGGGTTTCCAAAATAGGCTTCTTCAGGGACATTTGGCAATGAAATGGGGCCTCAGTGCTAAGGGGAATTTATTTTTATTTCAAAGTATAAAGATAGAGCCCATTAAGGGACAATTAAGCAAATTAATTTGCATGAGTGTATGCATGCAGGTACACATACAAACACTTATCAGAATTCAAATGTAGATATTCATACTCTTTAGGAATTAAACTTAACAACCTAAAAGTGCTTTTAACTTTAACCCTTAACAATTTTTACAAGAAAGAAAAGCTAACAGATTTTGATTTCCTCAGCTTATATGAGTCTGGGTTGTATTATAATCTTGGAACAGGCCTTACCCATCCAGGCCTTCTAAATCTGAGTTCCTAGCCTCCCTATAAAAAGGTCTCTGTTGCCGAAACCGGTTTGGCTCAGTGGATAGAGCATCAGCCTGCGGACTGAAGGGTCCCAGGTTCGATTCCGGTTGGGGGCATGTGCCTGGGTTGCGGGCACATCCCCAGGAGGGGATGTGCAGGAAGCAGCTGATCAATGTTTCTCTCTCATCGATGTTTCTGATTCTCTATCTCTCTCCCTTCCTCTCTGTGAGAAATCAATAAAATATATTAAAAAAAAGGTCTCTGTCCACAGAAAGATGGTGGAGAATGGGCTTATGAAGGTCAAATTATATTTCCCAGACTGTAGAGTTGTATATTTGTATAGTAATACCATGCCTGTTCTGATTCTAAAAGATCCATATATTTCAGTTACAAGATTCAGGGATTAAATGGACACATCAGATATTGTATTACTTTCTAGTTGCTTAATGAAGCCATTAAGGAATGATGGAGGATGAAACTTAAACCAAACCCAAAGAACTTGAATTTCTTGAATTGGATCACTTCATCTAGTTGATAATAATATCACATCAATACAGTGGCTTTATAAACATACGTCACCTAGTTGGAAATTTTATGTGTCATCATAAATAGGAACAGATAAGATATATTTGGTGGCCCTAAGACACATTTTCAGACAGCATCCATGAACTCAAAGGTATCCATCTAGTCAACCCTTTATTTAAGCTAATTTTGTGAGTGCTATTAAAAATATGGCTGCTCTAAATAACCAGTTCTTTAGTTATACTTGCTTGTTAGCATCTGGACTCTTCAGTTGGAAACCATCCAGACACCCTTTTTATTATTAATGATTAAGGTATTACATATGTGTCCTTATCCCCCATTGCCCCCACCCCCCAATCATGCCCTCACCCTCACCCTCTGTTGTCTGCATCCATTGGTTATGCTTACATAACCAATGTTAATGCAAACAAGTCCTTTGGTTGATCTCTCCCCCTTACCCCCACCCTCCTCTACCTTCCCTCTGAGGTTTGAGAACCTGATCGATGCTTCTGCCTCTGGACCTGTTTTTATTCATCACTTTATGTTGTTCATTATAATCCACAAATGAGTGAGATCATGTGATATTTATCTTTCTCTGACTGACTTACTTCACTTAGCATAATGCTCTCCAGCTCCATCCATGCTATTGCAAATGGTAGGAGTTCCTTCCTTTCTATGGAAGCATAGTATTCCATTGTGTAGATGTACCACAGTTTTTTAATCCACTCACCCCTATGTTCATAGCAGACAATTTACAATAGCTAAGATTTGCAAACGGCCTAAGTGCCAGACACCCTTATAATCAAGCAAATCCTATGTTTTAAGCCATGCTATTGAGAATACCTAGAGTTTCCATAAATGCCCAATATAAAGGTGTATGTTTTTTTCATTGCCATAAAACCAGTTCCTCCACTTATGGTATTAGCTACAGGTTTGAAAACATCCCAGTTATTGACCCAGAGAATTAATGAAAGATTTAATAGAAACAGACTAGTTGTATCCAGCTTTAGTTTACTTGTGGGTGATAGGTATGCACACCACATGAACAAATCCTTAGAACACTAGTTAGGAGGAAAGGGATTATACTACTATAGGAATGCCAGAAGTCTCATACAATAATCATTGTTCTATTAATCACATGTGCCAGGCTATGCCTGAGGACAATTCCAGATACTTTTATATGCCTCACCCTATTACACTTGCAAACCATCCTGGAGGGACTCCAAATGATTTCCATTTTACAGATGAGAAAATGGAAGCTAGAATATAGTCCCTCCACATGAAATGTGCATTGTACAGTGGGAAGACAAACTGACCATGCACATTTATCTTGAATGGGCATTTGGCTATGAGAACACAGAAGGACCAAGTAAGTTACATTGCTCCCTGATGGGAAAACTTGAAAGCAGGCTGAAAGCTGTACAGGCTCAAAGCCATCTCTCTTCCCACCCTGTACAGGTTGCCCTCCCTCATGGGATCTGATGAGTTCAGGGATTTGGTACAACATATTTAACCTTTTAAAAATGGAGAGAATCTTCCAATGGATTTGTAGAGATGAAATTGGTGGAAAGGAGTCCCATAAGAATTTATACCTCTTTGTTTTAGATGACACAAAATCAAGTCAAAATTGCTTAAAATAAAGCACTATTTAT